TTAATATCAATAACTATCATAAAAAGTCACAAAGTCAGAAACTAAAATTCTCATATAGTTTTATGCTTCATCCTTCTACTGGCATCTCCCACCATTTTTTCTACTTTATAAATGCAAACTTATAATCAGAATTGCCAAGGATTAGAACTTTTCAAGTATATATAGGTTATTTATTCATTGTGGAAATGTAAATTAAAACCTCTGCAGATTGCAACTTATTCTCATATCTTTAATTAAATCAAAATATACAGGATAAAGAATAAATCAAGCTAACAACAACAATTTAATAATGTAGATTTTGTCTAAATAGCTAAAGGAGAATATTAGAATATGACGTAGCCGAAATCTTTTCAGTATTAGGTTCTGCAGCATCATCAAAACAGGATTTTAGCAATCAATCAAATAATTCAAAAAAACAATCAAATATATATTTAAATATCGAATTAAATAAATTTAATAATAGAGCACAATATTTAAATACTCCAATTTTAGTCATCTATATTTAAAAAAATAATAGTATTAATTCAGTAAATCAATAATCAGCCTCAGTTATTAGAAGCCTTTAAGAAAGCTAATATTAAAACATATTATAATAATTAATAGTTAAAAATCAATTTAGTGCCAAATGTAGCAAACCAAAGGCAGTCCTTATAAAGAAATAACAGTCACACGGTGCTACAGGTGAAAATACTCAATTACTGTAAAGCTGAAAATTGAAAATATCGAAGAGGAGATAAGACAATGAATGGAAGAAAAGTTAAATCTTTTAAAAGAACAAACAAATCATCAACTTTTAAAATTTAGTACGCTCAAAGAATCACTCTTAAGAGATCTCAAAAATAGATAGGTTATTTTAGAATTACTCGAATTAGCTTAAGGTAATATATAAATATAATTTTTTTTTAGAGTAAATTTAGCAGCATCTTTTACGACGATGACCAATATCAATATTAATAATGTTACTGTTACCACTACATGGATTAAAACATGGATCAAAATCTCCTTTATTTTTTTATTTAAAAAAACACATATTTATAATTTTTAAATATTATAAATTACTTTATAATTATTTTTTTTATTAAAACTAATAATTAAATAAAAAATCTAATATTATTTCTTAAATTTAGTTGTAAAAATCATACAAATAATCAATTTAATTAATTTTTTTTTTTTTTTTTAAAAATCATTTTTTTAAAATGAAAAAGTTAGTTTAATGTTTTGGGTATCATTTAAAAGAGAATTAAATAAAAAATCGAAATCAAATAAAAAAAATGATCAATCTATAATATAAAAAAAAGATATAAACTAAATTATTGCTTTACAATTATTTTTTTAATTATTTTCTTTATTTTATAAAAAAAATTAAACAATTCTTTCTTTTTAATAAATAAATTTTTATTATTTTAATTTTTTTTTTTTTTTTTTGAATTAAAGAAAACATTTTTTTTTTTTTTCTTTATTATTTTATTCACACAAATAATAGCTTTATTTTTACAATTTTTCAACACAATAATATTTTTTTTTTTTATAATTTTAATTAAATAATATTCACACATTTTTCAATATTTTATTTTTTCAACTTTTTCTTTCTTTATTATTTTATATATATATTTTATATATATTTATATAAAATCAACCTAAATATGATAGTAAATAAAATTTTATTTCTATCATTTTTAGTTATATTATTTTTTTTATCAAGATTTACCCCAGTAACACCCCAATTAAATCTAAGTTCTTCACTTTGCATTCCAGGTACTAAAATAAACTATAAATTATTAACTAAAAATAGAACTTTTTTAAAAAGTAAATATTGGATAATAAATATTAACCTTAATTTTTTTTATAGATACTCCAAACTCAACTCCAACTTATATTTGGAATCCAAAAGTTGGAAATACATCCATTGTTGATGTCAATTCTAAAGGTGTTATTGGTAATAATAATTGTGCTGGATCTGTTGTCATTGTTCAAGAACCAGACCAAATTGTTTTTTCATCATCTCAAGTAGAGGTCGAAGTTGGTAAAAAATTAGTACTCTCAACTAAATTATTATCAAAGCATTTACCAAAAGGAGTTTATTTCGAATCTTGCTCAATTAATAATTTAGAATGGAAAGTTAAAGATGATTCCATTTTCAAAATTTTACCACATGAAAAGGTCGACCAACAAAAGATATCAAGTGACATATGTTCATCTCGTGAATTTTTGGCTCTAAAAGAAGGCTCAACTGTTATTTCAGTTCAATACAATGGAATTAGAGAAGAAATTTCGTATTTTTGCTTCTCCACCAGCTGATCAAATAGAATTTTTATTAAGTTTAGGTTCATCGGCCGAGGTTTCTTTCTGTGGTGGTAAAGAGACATGGCTTTTACAACCAAAGATTTATTCCAAATTTATTTCATCAGATAATAATGAACAAAACTCACTCTCAATCACTCCAGGTGATAATAATTCATTCAAAGTCACTTGTCAAAAACAATCAAATGATCCACAAAATGTTATTGTAACTATTAGAAACAAAAAGAGTATTAGCAGCCCATTACCAGAAACCCGTTCAATTAAAATTCCATTCTTTTGCCGTCAACCATCATATGTTAATATTCAATTTATAAAATTACCAACTGAAGAAGAAGGTAAACAAAAATCACGTGAAATCAGTCGTTTAAATATTCATAGTAATAGTGATTTACCATTTATTGCTATGAATTCTATTGCTAAATATGTAAAAGGTAGTACCAATTATCCAATTATAGTTGCAGGTTCCATCTTTATTGCCGCCTTTGCTATTGGTCTTTATGTATATAAAAAACATATGTTAATTTATATATCAAATTCTTTATTAGAATCATTCCGATCTCCATTTCCATACTCTTCTTTAGTATCACCAAATATTTCACAATTTAGTATTAATTTATAAAATAATTAAAAAAAAAAAAAAAAAAGAATTTTAATATAAATAAACAATATTTTATTTGATTATAAAGAAAAATAAAATATTTAATTAAAAAAAAAAAATTTATTTATTTATATTTTTTAATGTTATTAAAATAGAACTATTTTATTTATTTAATTTTTTGATCGTAGTACTTTGTTGTTTAATTAATATTTTATTTAAGACTGCTGGTGATATTATTAGGTTCAATTTTCGTTGTAGTCTCTAATTGGATATAAATTTCACTTTTTAATATTATTACTTTTAATATGTTTTCCTGCAACAGAGTGACTAATTACTATTACTTTAGTGTTTATTAAGCTTTTAATAGTGATTGAAATATTATGATTATCTTCAGTTTTTATCAATTATCGTTATCACAGTAGGGGAATAATACCTGATTTAATTACTATCTTATTTTATTTTCATATATGCTGTCTTTTCAAAAGTATACCCCCAATTTTTAGCAAATATCAACACGTTATCATTGCCATTTTAAATTTTTAAAATTATATTTATTTTAAAAAATCGATATTTTTTAAAAAAAAAAAAAAATTTTATTTTTTTTTTTAATTTTTTTTAATTTTTTTTTTTATTTTATTTTTTTCGATCACAACAAACAAACAAACACATAAATAATTTTAATAATGTAAACTTTAGCACATCCAATAAATAATAATAATTATAACATTACTGAAATATGTTTAAAACCTTTCGAGAACAAGTAAGTAAATCAATACATTATTTTAAAACAACAACAACAACAAACCCTTATATATATAGAAAATGGCATCGTTGTAGAAATAGAAACAGAATTACTAATATAAATTAAAATAACTTTTCAAAAGACAGATTTAACAATTAAAACATGCCATTCAATACTCCAACAGGATCTGCTGTCGTCGATATTATGAATGAAAGGATTTTAATCAATTATATAAAGATTTGGTCTAATAATTCCAACCACGAAATATTGCTTCCATATTATAATAATCCCAAAACTAATATCAAATACTATCATAAAAAGTCACAAAGTCGCAGAAACTCAAATTCTTTCAAAGTCTTTCAATCTCGAGTAAATCAGATAAAGCAAAATTCAAATCTTACAAGTTCATGTAAAAATTCAAAAGCGTTAATGGATGTACCGTTCAGCTTTTATAGACGCTAGTGCACAGTTATCATGTATGAAAAAAACATTGGCAAAAAAAAGATAAAACTTAGATCCAAATAAACACTAATGAAGATATTCAATCTTATCAACCATTTATATGAATCTCAATACATTTGCCCTGGCCCAAGCAACAATGATAGAACACAAATAGTTTAGATAAGGAAAAGGGTAAACTTCAACTTTCGTTAATATTGTTTAAATTGTGAAACAGTCCAATGGTTTTAGCTTATCAAATATATTTAAAATATGACCCCAAAAGAATTTAGTATCTGATAGAGGTTCAAAGTTCAAAAATGAAGTCGTCGTTTCAATAAACAAATTCTTTAAATGTTTTAGCGAAAAGGGTAAACTTCAACTTTCGCTTTCCATACTTAAACATATGGTTTAATTGAAAAGTTTAATTCAACTTAATTCACAAGTGCCTAGATCTTATTGTAAAGAAGACAATACAAATGACCACAACTAATTGGTATTGCTTTATTCTCATATAGTATATTATGCTTCATCCTTCTACTGGCATCTCCCACCATTTTTTCAACTTTATAAATGCAAACTTATAATCAGACTTACCAAGTATTAGAACTGTTCAAGTAAATAGAGGCTATTTATTCATTGTAGAAATGAAAAGTAAAACCTATGCAGATTGCAACTTATTCTCATATCTTTAATTAAATCGAAATATGCTAGAAAAGAATAAATCAAGCTAACAACCACAATTTAATAATGTAGATGGTGTCTTAATATCTAAAAGTGAATATTAGAATATGACCTACCCGAAATCTTTTCAGTATTAGGTTCTGAAGCATTATCAAAACAGGATTTTAGCAATCAATCAAATAACAAAAAATCAATCAAATATATATTTAAATATTGAATTAAATAAATTTAAATACCAATTTTAGTCATCCATATATAAAAAGAATAATAGTATTAACTCAGTAAATCAATAATCAGTCCTCAGTTATTAGAAGCCTTTAAGAAAGCTAATATTAAAACATTTTATAAAAATTAATAGTTAAAAATCAATATAGTGCCAAACCAAAAGCAGTCCTCATTAAGAAATAACGTCACACCCAAGCATCACCAAATTCGACTTATTATCATATAATTAATAAAACGCCTCACATTTTTCAGGACCATCACTGCTGGTGCTGCTGCAGGTTGTGCTGATACAGGTGGTTCTACTGCGGGTGGTGAAAGTGGCACAAATGGTACAGGTGGTACAGGTGGTACAGGTGGTACAGGTGGTACAGGTGGTACAGGTGGTACAGGTGGTACAGGTGGCACATCAACAAGTGGATCAACCAGCATATCAACAGGTATAATAGCAGGTAACTCTTCAAGAGGTTCATCAGATAGCAGATCATCATCAGCCAGAGAGAACTTTTAGAACAATTAGAATTAGCCCAAGAAGATCTTCAATCCGAAAATCACAATATTAAATCAGAGATTATAATTCTTAAGATAAATTCAGTAAAGAATCTTTCAACATTGGTCATGATACTCTAGTTGGTATATCAAAAGTTTCACCGAGTTCTCATACTGATAGAGGGGATAGATCCATCAACATTGGTTTTTCAAAGAAATTGATTAAAAGCATGAAATCGATTAAAAGCATGAAATCGAATGTTGGTAGTTCAAATGCAGGTGCTAATGGTTCACCAATCATCCTATTGAATACTTCAGAAGAAATCAATGGTGATAGAATCAAAGAGATTGAACATGAATCTGAAAGTTATAGAATTGCAAAAGAGAATTTAGCAATGGAAAAAGATTTAGAAACCAAACAGTTTATAGAAAGTCAAAGAAATAGCAGTATTTTTGTTGTAGATCCAAGAAATCTATTTTAGTTGGAAGCTCGTCATCGAGAAATCTAACAAGAAATGATGTTACAAGCTGAGCAACTTAAAAAGTTAGAGTCAGAAATCTCTCAACACAAAAGGTTCATTTAGAAACAGTTAGAAATGAAAATACTCAATTAAAACTGAAAATTGAAAATATCGAAGAGGAGATAAGACAAAGAATGGAAGAAAAGTTGAATCTTTTAAGAGAAAAAACAAATCATCAACTTTTAAAATTTAGTACACTCAAAGAATCACTCTTAAGAGATCTCAAAAATAGATGTAAATAGGTTATTGATTAGAATTTGTTAAAGACCAATATCAAGATAGTAATGCTAAACTTACTGACCGTATAAAGCGTTCCAATGAACCAGGTGGAAATGATCAATAGATAAAGTCAATTCAAACAAAGTTTGACGAAATGACAACATTTAAACACATTAAAAAATGAAAATACTAAACTCAAATCAGAAATTGAAAAAATAAAAAAATTACACATCCTAAGAGGTCAACATATTATTGGTTTAAACAAATAAATAAATAGATAATATAGCAACTAATGAAAGAAGAAAGAGAAAAGAAAAAGAAAAAAAAAAGGAAAAAGAAAGAGAAAAACATAGAGACAGAGATAGGGATAGGGACAGAAATAGGGATAGAGACAGAGAAAGGTCAAGATCCAAAGATAGAAAAAAAGAAAGAAAAAGATCAATTTCAAAAGAAAAAGATAAAGAAAGATAAATAAAATAAATTTGTGTATATATTTTTAATTATTGGTTTGAAAGCAATCAAAATTAGATACAAAATTAAATTAGATTATTGGTTTAAATAAAAAAATAAATAAAAGGAAAAAATAAATCGTTTGACCATCATCAATTTTCCCAGTTTCGATAAATGTGATGATGGAATCTATTTAAAAATACAAAGAAAATTAAATAAAATTTTTTTTATGTGTTTTTTTTTTTTTTTCTTTTTTCACAGATACAATATAAATACATATATTAAAACTTATTTTAATGAGCATCAAGGCATTATTAGTATGAAAAACCTAAAGATATTTCTATTTAAATTTATTTAAAAAACTTAAAATTTTTAAATTATAAAAAATTCACTCTTTTTTTAAATTAATAAAAATTTTCATTGTAATATTTTTTTTAATCAAAATTTTAACATACAATAACACATTTATTATATAATTATCAATCTCTATTATTTTTTTTTTTATTAAATATTACAATGTATTTTTTCTATTTTTAGATTTAATTAAAGTGTTCAATTTTAAATAAATATAAAGAAAAAATGAAATACAACTTTTTTAAATTTCAAAAAAAACAGTTCTTTTATATTTTTTAAAAATATTATAAATTAAAAAATAATAACTTTCAAAATTATAATCACATAATCTTTTTTATATCTTATATTTTTTACAACCCATTATCATTTAAACTTTCCTATTTTTCCTTTTTATATTATTTTTCAAGTGTGAAGTACCAAGGCTGATTTGGTATATTAATCTGTATTCTGAGATTACCAAACCAAGGGCTAATTATTATACTGTGCGTGGCAGTATAATAGTTAGCTGCCGGCTCAAATATACTAACCTCCCCGTGGTTCGAGCTGGAAACACTCTTTTCATAGAGTGGCTAATAGTATAAAAAAAAAAATAAAAAAAAAATAAATAAATTAAATAAAATTAATTAATTTTATTTCAACTCATATTAACAAAAGAATCCAATTCAATATTTCAGACCAAATAAATATACACCCTTTACTAATAATAAAATAACTTCTATAAAAATAAAAATATACAAATAAATAAATATTTTTTTATATGAAATATTTTCAAATAAAATTTATTTATTATTTATTATTATTTAAAAATCTGACTAATTGAATTCAGTCAGATTAACAACTCAATAATTTAATAAAATAATAAAAATAGGTGTGAATAAACCTTAAAAAAATAAAATAAAATAAAATAAAATAAATAAATAAGTGTAATTAAACTTTTAAAAAAAAAAAAAAATAATCCCCAAAAAATTAAAGAAAAAAAAAGATTTTATAATAAATTTTTAATGATAATGAAATGGTATAAATACCATTAATTTATTTATTTATTTTATACTTTTTGCCTTTGTTTTTATAAAAAAAAAATACCATGGGGAGGTTAGTTATATTAGAGCCTGCCATGCCTAAACTAAACACCCCGTAGTGGTTAATAATCTATACTGCATCTCTCAGTATGCCTTAACCACTACATGGAAATATATTAATTTTTATTCTTTTTATAAACTATCTTTTAGTTTTTTTTTTTAATTTATGGTATTTTAATTTTTAAACGATTTTTTTTTTATTATTAAAAATTAAAAAAAAATTTGAAAATTTTTAAATTAAAAATTTAAATACAAATAAATAGTTTTTTTTATATATATTTTAAAATTTATAATATTTTTTTTCAAATATCAATGAAAACATTTACATAAATTGTTTTAATAAAAATAAAAAATACCATCAAAAATAACAATAAAAAAATTTTGATAATATATAAAACCTTAAAGAAAGTAATTAGCAAAATATCATAAAAAAAAAGCTATATATATTAAGTGAAATACAAGGACACATCAGTTAAGGTATAATTACACATAATTACAAATGGAATGTCAGTTTTACAATTTCATTTGATTCTTTGGGAAGTGATAGTTACACAAAAGTTTTGCATTACCTTCTGTCTATCAGTTAAGAGTTGCTGAATAAAAAAGTAAGTTTATACACATATTTAAATGATAATAAACCTATTTATTTACAAAATTAAATTAAATTTATTAATTTTTCATTTTATTTAGATATCGATTTTATTGGACCATTAGTTTCAGATTTAAAGATATTGAAATCAAATAATAAAAATAAAATAGAAATTAGAGATAGTTCAAATGGTTTTAAACAATGATATTTTTTAGTAAGTGGTAATAACATTTCGACTATTTGGTTATTGTTATAAAGTAAACATATGTAATAACACTTTAAATTATAAATTATAATACAGACAGATGAATATATTTATAAAATCTAGAGATATTAAGCTTTTTTTAGGTACTAATAGAGATATAAATTTAATTAGTTTATTATACGAAAAGAAAAAAAGAACAGCTACACATGTTTGATTTAGTAGAATGTGCATACTCTTTAGATAATATAGAAGCATTGGGGTATTTCCTATCAATGAATGTACCAACATTTTTACCAAACTGCACAAATAATAATAAAAGTTTTTCAATATCATCGATTAAATCATTATAATTACTATTAAAATATCGAGTAAATATCATAGAACCTTATAATATCAATATCAATAGTAACACAACAGCAGCTTCATAATCATCATCATCATCATTCAGTTTAAAAAATAGTAATAGTAACTATATGCTGTTGAACATCAATGTATACAGCTCACTTTGCATATAATATTCTCCTGGTGATATTCTTTCGCCATCTGATTCTTTGTTTTTAATTTTTTCAATTTTAATACCACTACATGTATTAACAGATATTCATCATGGTTCTTTGATTTCGGAAATTTAAAACGATAGATCAAGGTTTTTGCAAGTGTATTCTGAAATTTGAACTTTGAGCTTGAATCTTTTGATTCTTTTTTGAACAAATGACCTGTATATACAGTGCCCGGATTATATATGTAGACCCCCCCAACTTTTATTAAATCATTTATAAAATAAGATTTACCAATAATAGTTTTTATATGAAGAACCTTACCGCCAATAATTATTAATTTTTAGAAATAAATGGTAAGGAGTGGGCGTGGGTAAAATAAAAAAATAATAAAAAAAAATTTCTATATTTTTTACCACATTTTTATTTTTAAAATTTTTATATTTTTTTTATCATTAATTTAATAAGTAAGAGTTAATATAAGTTTAAAAATAGAATATAGTAAATAAACAAAATGATATTAAGTGATGAAGTTGGATACTCAATATTATCATATAAAAACAGAGGTCACAAGTCGAACTCAAAAATTGCAAAAAAATTGGAGTGTATAAATCAAAAGTAGCAAAAACATTAGAAAAGGTAGAACAAACAGGCACAATCAATGACCGTAAAAGTCATGGGAGAAAAGAAAGTTTGACGAACGTGATGAACGTGATTTATGTTTCAATTTTTAAAATAGTAAATTTACTATATAAAATAAAGTATAATTTGGTATGAACAAAATGGATTTGGAACAATATCATACAAGTCAGTAAGAATTATATTAAAGAGATAAAACATAATATATAAAAAGAAAGTTAAGAATCCTTCATTGTTTAGACATAATAGCAGAAAAAGATTTTTTTTAAAGTTGTGCATATAAATTTTTTTGTGGAATAATGAGAAAATTATATGTTTGTGGATGAAGTAAAGTTCCAATAATATGATAATAACCATGGTAGGTCTTCTTGGGCTTATGATACTAATGTTTTACTAGAATCACGTATCAAGACAAATGTTAGAAAGGGTGGGGTTAATTAAATATTTTTGGGAAATTTTCTTTATTTTATAATTATAAAATCATTATATGAATCACTCCCTGACCGAATAGATGCCATATTAAAAGTACATGGAGGGTATACTAAATATTAAATAATAATAATCATTTATATATAATTGTAAAAAAAAACAAATAAAAAACAAATAAAATTTTTGAAATTGAAAAAACGGATTAAATATTTAGACCCTATTTTTTTTTTTTTTTTATTTTAATTTTTAGCAAATAAACCAATATCTTGTAATATGATTTATTTTAGAGGTCATTATATAAATATTAAATATGATCTATTAATTCAATAATTATCATTTCCATTTTAAAAAAGTTGGGGGGGTCTAAATATATAATCCGGGCACTGTATATTATACATTAATTATATTCCTCATAACTGTTGGCTTTAACTTTAAATACGTATTCTCTGGATTTCATCTGATAATTGTCATAGTTTGTTCGGTATACAGTTCAGTTTGAATATAAAATTTACCTAGTGATATTTTTGGCATGCACTATATGTTATTAATATATATATAAATATTATTTATTTCGAGTAAATTTAACAGCATCTTCTACGACGATGACCAATATCGATATCAATATTGATAACGTTAGTGTTACCACCACTGCATGGATTAAAACATGGAATGAAACCACATGAACTTCCATCACCTAAGCTATTGCCAAACCAAGCAGAATTATTATCAGAGAATGAGACACTTCCAGATGAGCTTAACATTAATTTAGATGAGGCACCTTTAACTGGGTTCATTAATGAAATAGTTTCTATATAAAAAATATAAAAAATAAATATGAATGTTAATATATATTATTAAAATTTAAAATTTAGTTTTATAAATATTTACTAATAAAACATAGATTTTATCTTTTTAATAAAAATTTATTTGTATTTTACAATTGGGTTATTTTTTTTTAATTTTTAAATTAGTAATTATTAAATGTATGTTTATTTAAATTTGTATTACCATCTTGAATTGAAAAGTCATTTCATAAATTTTGATTTGTATAAAAAAAAAAATTTTTATTCATTATACACATTTACAAATAACCCAAACAAAAAAAAAGAATGTTTTAGAAATAATTAAAAAAATAAAATACTAAAAAAATAAAAAAAATTAATAAAATTAAAAAAAAAAAAATCTACAAACCCTTTTTATTTTGTTTATTTAGATAATGAAACCATTAT